GACACTGTTGGGTTAGTTTCTCTATCATAATTATCCCGTGGCTTGACTGTATAGCTTAGCTAGCTGGGATCGTCCAACTTTTCTACACCATCGTTATGACCCTGAAGTCTAATAGAACAAAGGTACTTTATTTTTTAACGCGTGCTTCGATATAGCTCATTGATATCCATTACTGAGGAGGATATGTTGATAAAACATTTTTCCGATATCTATTTCTTATGCAATACCGATAAAAATCTTCGATATCCTTTTCTCATGCAAAATACCGATAAAACTACACTTCGATAGTTATTATTCATCCAGCATAACACATTCCTTTTATTTAAATGAGATTCCTTAAGTAGGGTGAATAGTCTTTGTTTAAAAAAAGTAATCACCACATTAAACCCAACTATCCAGATGGGGGGAAGGCTGATCACTGTATGTGAGTCTGGACTGTTTATTGTCTATTACCCTCACAGATAGGATTCCATTGATTAATGGACAGAGGGGCTTCCTGTGGGCTTTAACATATAAGCCCCTTTTTTTGTTGAGCAATATTTTAGCCCGATACACTAAAACTAAATGTAACATAACCAAACAAAAAATCCGCTATCTCATGTAACGTCTGCCAAAACCAACGTTTGAAACATGACAACGTTGTAGGCTAAAAGATCACCCCATATCATATTTCGTGAACAATACCGTGGTGGTTGTTATCTCCATACGACTTGAATCATGATCCATAGCGCCGAAATACATATATATTAGCATGTGTAATGTATGTATGCACACCTCAAGAACCACCTGAACAACAGGACACATAACAGGAAGTAACGTGTTAGATAGGATCAAGTCACAGCTAGTGATTGCATATTTTATTCTACTACACCTTCGTCTTATTCATTGTTCTACAGGTGTATTTTCAATTAAATCTTAAATTATCTTTTCTGTTGAAACAAGTTTACGTTGTAAACTAGTTACACGCAATTAGAATGATCGATTATGTATAGACCCGCATATAAATGTAATCACATGCTATGATACTGAGGCAGGAAAGGTTGTCGATAATGATAATTTAATAAATTTTAAATGTGGCGTCAAACATGGAGACCTCGACACTCCCCATGTCAACGTATTGTATCCAAGTACCGATACTTGACCAGTCTACCTCTAACCCTTGTGTCCACCACTTACTTCTACATACTCTACAGTACCTTCCACACACATACTCTACAGTCCCTTCCACACACATACACTACAGTCCCTTCCACACACATACACTACAGTACCTACCATTCCACACACATACACTACAGTACCTTCCATACACATACACTACAGTACCTTCCATACACATACACTTCAGTACCTTCCATACACATACACTACAGTTCCTTCCCTTCCATACACATACACTACAGTCCCTTCCATACACATACACTACAGTCCCTTCCTGACACATACACTACAGTCCCTTACATATATAACAGTCTCTCTTATACAAGTCTTTGACAAGCACAACATTCCCTAACACAGAACATTCCCTAACTCAGAACACCCCTTCACACAACATTCCCTTACACAACAGCATCTCACCACCCCACATAAATACACACATTCCCCAACAAATCCCCAACAAAATCCCCTTCCAAACCCTCCCCTACACAACCGACACAACAAAGCTGGTTCTTACCCCGCCTTCCTACATCTGTTGTTATTTGATTCAATTATTTACAAGTAAAAATGGCGGTGTTCTGTTGCATGGGGCACCATAAACATTAAGTTTAGAAAAAAAAAATTCTAGCGATTGCTAAATCAATAAATCTTTGCCATTAGCGGAAATCATGAAGAAAAAATGGCTGATCTAAATGTGGGGATCTACTAGCTGGGGAGGGGGTAAAGAGGGTGGGTGGGGAGGGTGATTAAAGGGGGAGGGGTGGGGGTGGGAATGTTCATGTTAGGACGACATTAAATGGAGATAAAAAATAAAATGTTATTGCCTATAGCTTAGCAGGCATTCAAAGGGAGGCATAATTAAAACGCATACATTATAATGTAATCAAATCTAATACTGTTGTGAAAAACTAACCATTAATGGTGTTAAAACACATACAATTTAGTTAGAACAATTACAGTGTAATTTAAAAACAGTATAATTAAAACCAGTGTTCAATAATTCAAAACATTTATTAATGCAATTTAAACAAAACAATGTAAAAAAAAAACTAATTAAAACATGATCTGATTATAGCGAACCCAATGTGATTAAAACGCATCCAATTATACAAGGGAGTTAAATTTAAGCTGGATAACCCGGTCCATTAAGCTCCCCTTCCAAACAAGTTGATCTAAATTTCGTGCAGGAAGCTTTCAAAGATGTACCTTTAAAAAAAGTTAAAATTGATACGTTGTTTTTCTACGGATCTAATTATCGATTAATTTAACGAAACAAACCTTGACGGTGGAGATCTGTTTTTATCCAATTAAAGCTTTGAGCAGAGGCTTGTTTTTTTTTCGTAGTTGTGTTGTGGAATAATTACTGCGTCCTTGAACGTGTAGAATGTCGTGGTTACTGCGTCCTTGTAGAATGTCGTGGTTAATGCGTCCTTGTAGAATGTCGTGGTTAATGCGTCCTTGTACTTGTAGAATGTCGTGGTTACTGTGTCCTTGTAGAATGTCGTGGTTAATGCGTCCTTGTACTTGTAGAATGTCGTGGTTACTGTGTCTAGTGTTTCTTTCAGACTTTTTTTCTCCGGGGGGAGGGGGGGGGCACTTGATATTTTTAGAGACACTTGAAACTTGATCCTATCATTGACAGATACTTGAAACTTGACCCAATCATTCACAGATACTTGAAACTTGACCCAATCATTGACAGACACTTGAAACTTGACCCAATCATCGACAGACACTTGACCCAATCATTGACAGACACTTGAAACTTGACCCAATCATTGACAGATACTTGAAACTTGATCCAATCATTGACAGACACTTGACCCAATCATTGACAGATACTTGAAACTTGACCCAATCATTGACAGATACTTGAAACTTGACCCAATCATTGACAGACACTTGAAACTTGACCCAATCATTGACAGACACTTGACCCAATCATTGACAGACACTTGACCCAATCATTGACAGACACTTGACCCAATCATTGACAGATACTTGAAACTTGACCCGATCATTGACTTACACTTGACCCAATCATTGACAGACACTTGAAACTTGACCCAATCATTGACATACACTTGACCCAATCATTGACAGATACTTGAAACTTGACCCAATCATTGACAGATACTTGAAACTTGACCCAATCATTGACAGATACTTGAAACTTGACCCAATCATTGACAGACACTTGACCCAATCATTGACAGACACTTGAAACTTGACCCAATCATTGACAGATACTTGAAACTTGACCCAATCATTGACAGACACTTGACCCAATCATTGACAGACACTTGACCCAATCATTGACAGATACTTGTAACTTGACCCAATCATTGACAGATACTTGAAACTTGACCCAATCATTGACAGATACTTGAAACTTGACCCAATCATTGACAGACACTTGACCCAATCATTGACAGACACTTGACCCAATCATTGACAGATACTTGAAACTTGACCCAATCATTGACAGATACTTGAAACTTGACCCAATCATTGACAGATACTTGAAACTTGACCCAATCATTGACAGACACTTGACCCAATCATTGACAGACACTTGAAACTTGACCCAATCATTGACAGATACTTGAAACTTGACCCGATCATTGACAGACACTTGACCCAATCATTGACAGACACTTGAAACTTGACCCAATCATTGACAGACACTTGACCCAATCATTGACAGACACTTGAAACTTGACCCAATCATTGACAGACACTTGACCCAATCATTGACAGACACTTGAAACTTGACCCGATCATTGACAGACACTTGACCCAATCATTGACAGACACTTGAAACTTGACCCAATCATTGACAGACACTTGACCCAATCATTGACAGACACTTGAAACTTGACCCAATCATTGACAGATACTTGAAACTTGACCCGATCATTGACATACACTTTACCCAATCATTGACAGACACTTGAAACTTGACCCAATCATTGACAGACACTTGACCCAATCATTGACAGATACTTGAAACTTGACCCAATCATTGACAGATACTTGAAACTTGACCCAATCATTGACAGACACTTGAAACTTGACCCAATCATTGACAGACACTTGACCCAATCATTGACAGACACTTGAAACTTGACCCAATCATTGACAGATACTTGAAACTTGACCCAATCATTGACAGACACTTGACCCAATCATTGACAGACACTTGAAACTTGACCCAATCATTGACAGACACTTGACCCAATCATTGACAGACACTTGAAACTTGACCCAATCATTGACAGACACTTGACCCAATCATTGACAGACACTTGAAACTTGACCCGATCATTGACAGACACTTGACCCAATCATTGACAGACACTTGAAACTTGACCCAATCATTGACAGACACTTGACCCAATCATTGACAGACACTTGAAACTTGACCCAATCATTGACAGATACTTGAAACTTGACCCGATCATTGACATACACTTTACCCAATCATTGACAGACACTTGAAACTTGACCCAATCATTGACAGACACTTGACCCAATCATTGACAGATACTTGAAACTTGACCCAATCATTGACAGATACTTGAAACTTGACCCAATCATTGACAGACACTTGAAACTTGACCCAATCATTGACAGACACTTGACCCAATCATTGACAGACACTTGAAACTTGACCCAATCATTGACAGATACTTGAAACTTGACCCAATCATTGACAGACACTTGAAACTTGACCCAATCATTGACAGACACTTGAAACTTGACCCAATCATTGACAGACACTTGACCCAATCATTGACAGACACTTGACCCAATCATTGACAGACACCTATCACTTGCAGGCTATCGGCAGCGATCATCTTCTGCGCTGTGCCGGAAAACTTGCACCGGATGGCGCCCCACTCGGTCAGTCTGGTCAGGGAGAGATGCGACACCCCAGAGAACATCCTGCGGGTGGCGGGCCCGGCCCCCGCCCGGTACGAGTTCACGGTGTGTGTGACGCCCCTCAACTTCAGGTACAGCCGGGCCTATGAGCTGGTGGAGATGGTTGAGATGAACAAACTGCTGGGGGCGCAGAGGGTCGTTTTTTACAACCACAGCACTGGCGCTAATGTTGACAAGGTAAGGCGGGGTCATAGGGGGTTTGTGGGGGTCATTGGCATGGTCATAGGGGGTTTGTGTGGGTCATTGGCATGGTCATATGGGGTTTGTGTGGGTCATTGGCGGGGTCATAGGGGGTTTGTGGGGTCACTGGGGGTTTATGGGGGTCACTGGCGGGGTCATAGGGGGTTTGTATGGGGCATTGGGGATGTCTGGGCTACTGGGGAATTTGTTTGGGTCATTGGGGGTTCATATGGGTTACTGGGGGGGGGGAGGTTGTATTGGTCACTGGGAGTTAGGGGTCACTGGATTTGTATGGGTCACTGGGAGTTAGGGGTCACTGGATTTGTATGGGTCACTGGGAGTTAGGGGTCACTGGATTTGTATGGGTCACTGGGAGTTAGGGGTCACTGGATTTGTATGGGTCACTGGAGGATCGTCTGGGCCACGATAGCATTGATAGTTACACGTAACATTTGCACGCCTGATCGGAAATTGAAATCTGCCCTTGTGATATTTTACTATTCACAATCAAAGATTATCCTTAAACTTAAATGTTTATCTAGCCCCTCGGATTATCTCATAACTTAAGTGTTAATCTAACCCCTCGGATTATCCTTGAACTAACAATCACCATTCCTCCACCAGGTGTTGGACTACTACATTCAGCGTGGCGACATTGAAGTCCTTCCGTGGCACCTCCCGCTCAAGACAGAAACATGGCCGCCTTCAGGCGACCCGGATGTGCATTACTTCGCTCAGCTCGCGTCACTCAACGATTGCTTGTATCGATACCGCAATCAATCCCGATACATTGTTTACACGGATATAGACGAGTTTATCGTGCCCAGAAACCGTGACAACTGGCACGAACTAGTCCAAGACTTTATCCAGAAACATCCGGCCATGTGTAGTTTGACCGCAATGTGTACATTTTACCGTAAAGAATGGCCGAAAATCGCCGCAGGATTCGAATCCCCGGCCAAGCAGTTTAAATCTGTTGTACTGACACACACGCTGCGAGAAAAGACGATACTACCCTACGGCTCGCGGTCCAAGTACATCGTGGCGCCCCATCAGGTGGGCGTGGTGGGCGTCCACCAGGTGTGGAGCTGCCTGGGGGAGGAGGTGAGGCTGTCCCAGGACGACGCCCTCCTCCACCACTACAGGACGTGGGAGGCGCCCCTTGACCCCCAGCCAAGGGTGGAAGACGAGACTGCTGTAAAAAAGTTTGGCCCAGCGTTAGCTCAAAGATTGGAGGCTGTATGGAAGGAGCTGCCAAATATTCCGCTTGATGTCAACATCTCTTCCTATGGCCAGGTTTCCTGACTATGAGCCTGGCATAGTTTAAATTCATGAGCAATTTTAGTGATACATTTTTATTCTTCTAGCTTGTGATAATTTTTTAATAAAATTATTTTATTTTAACATATTTTTTTTGAAGAATGTGAAATTAAATGTGATTTTAATATTTATCATTTTATGAATGAATAATGTGCTGATGTTTATATTAAAAAATTACTGAATAGAATGGCCATTCACAAGTTCATTAGCCTACCAATCCATAAGTGCAATCCTGTGGCTAAATTAGCTACAAATAGAGCATTATTTATTCATTTTTATTTTTAAAAAGGTAACCCCTAATTATATAACAATAAAAAATGTGATTTATCTGAATGTATTGTCTGATTAGATTAATTACCATGATAAAAAATGTGATTTGTCTGAATGTATTGTCTGATCAGATTATAATGTGTGATAACCTTTGTCTTCCAGTCCAGACAGTAACATTTTCATTTTTTTACTGCTGCTTTCAACAAAAGCAAATAAAGAATTTATCCCTAAGATAAATTCTTCAGCAATAAAAAGACTAGGGATACCATTATGAAGCCTGCAAAAATGGACTCAGTAGAGTTAATGACCATTTTTACAATCTAATATTAACTTGCTCCCTCTTCTCCTTGTAACTCTAAAGAAAAGTGTGGGTCACTTAAAATTGTTTACCAAGGGTATTCAATACATAATAGTCTTCCACGCTTTACTTTGTAGTTATCAAAGATGATTTTATTAATTTTTTTTAGCGCATATATAAAAGCTTCTTATTTTGTAACCTTTTTTAAATATTTTTAAATATTTCAAAAATAATTTCTTTCTAAATTTCTCCAGATATTCAGCTCTGGGGTGACTTTGGTCACGTACTAGCCAAAATGTCATTGTTTCATCATTTTTATAGTTGAATTTCATACATCTGAAGTAATTATGTGAATCTGGCTAAAGGGAATGTTGTGAGCAGTAGTTCTGGCTTATGTTAGTGATGGTGTCATTATGCTAGTGATGGTGTCATTAGGCTGGTGATGGTGTCATGCTAGTCATGCTTTAGACCAGTCATGTTTGTAATTAATAATAAAATAGCTATCAGTTGTAAAATTTTAAAAACCTCTGATTGATAGGGAAATAAATCTGTACAAATATTCTTTATTATTAAACATGTATATTTTTATACACATTTTTCCTAAATACAAATCCATTTCTCTATTTAAAATGTTCATCAATTGTTCAAAGTGTTACATAAAAAGTGATAAACCATGAGAGTAAATATTATGATCCCCTACATCTCCCCTAGACAAACAGTAGGTAATGTGGTGGGTTTCAAATGTTTACATTTGTCATGGTTTTATCACAGCAAAACACTTTTGTCTGTAGAATTAACTGTTTTATAATAACAAATGTTGATCTTTGAATGAATAAAAATACATTAATTGTATGATAAAAAGTTTATTGTGATTCAGACAATAATAGATGTCATGGGGGGGGGGGGGCACTCTCACCCCTAGAGCCACACACACCCAACCAACTTTCTACATTAAAAAAAAAATGGTTTGATAAATTCAAACATTCAATTCTTAGGAAAATATAATGAAAAATTGTAGATCACATTGTAAGTTGGGTAACAGAACATCCAACCGGCAAAGGTTGTTTCCATCTTAGGAGAAACCACAGAACTTGATCTCTACTAGACTTGTACAGATTTGAACGTGTACAACTTGTACAGAGTTAAGATTTATATGAAAAAAAGTTGTACAGATTTTAAACTTAGCAGCAACTTGTACAGAACATGAACATGTCCACATCAGCAATTTGTACAGAACATAAACTTGTACACATCAGCAACTTGTACAGAACTTGTACTTGTCCATATCAGCAACTTGTACAGAACATAAACTTGTCCACATCAGCAACTTGTACAGAACTTGTCCAGAACATAAACTTGTCCACATCAGCAACTTGTACAAAACTTAGCCATCCTATGCTGTAGAGTTTATCCATGTCTACAGAAGGTGGTGTATCAGATCACAGTATACACAAGTAGACATCACTAACAACTGCATGTCAGATTCTTTCTTCAAGAAAAAAAATTGGTCCCAACCAATGAAGGTGGAAAATATTCCTGTTCAATGGGTCCACTGTGGGAAGGGGGGTATTTATAGCCTTTCCCATATCCTGAAAGCATACACATAAAGCACATTGGTTTCAATGTCTTTCCAACATCTCAAAAGCATACAGGTAAACATATTCAATTTTTAGTCTTATTTATAGCTTGAAAGCATACAGGCAATACACAATTTCATAGAATTTTCCATACCCCGAAAGCACACAAATAAAACACATTAAACTTGAATAAAATATTTTGTTATACTTTTCACTTATTAAAAGGAAAAAAAATGTGCTAAATATATTAAATTAATTTATAGCAATTATGATTTTTTATAATTATCTAAAAAAAGTGGATTTAAAAGTAAAATTTAAGGGAGAGTAAAAAATGACACAATAAAAGACACAAAACCTGTTTTGATGTTTTTGATATTAAAACGAGATAAAACTGTACCCAGCATTAATTTAAACACAGAAGCCCTGTATAAAACCTTATTTCCTTACTAATAATTTGGTCCCTATAACATTTTGGTAGCCTGGCTACATGTTTAGAGTTGTCCCAGAAAAACTTGCAATGGGAAAACACACACACAGGGAAATGTGCAAATACAAACTCATTACACAAACTTTCAGTCTTATTTGATCATCCTAAAAATAGCCTGCTAAGATCAGCTATCTGACCATATTTTATAGAAAATAAAATAATTTTTTGAAGTCTCACTTTCTTAGATTCATACAGAGTTCAAACAAACCACAAACCCAATTAACAATCAAGACTTCCTGATGTAATGAAATGGAGTGGGTGATACAAGACAAATACAAAACAAAAGTATCGGATAATAGAGCTAAAATTTTAATGACCTCAATGGAAACCATTAGACCAGTTTCCACCAAGAAGCCTTTAATTTAATTTTAAAATACAAAGTTCTAAAGACACATTATATTGACTTTTATATAATTTTTTCAATGCTTTTTCAAGACTTTATTATTATACAAGATAAATCTATAAATAACCAGCTGCGGTGAATTATAACTTTGGTGTCTAATACAATTTGGGAGTCAATGATACAAGTAGATGGCTCTGCTAATAATAGAAATGTAAATACACCATTCTCACACCTTGCAATCAACAGTTCAAAAGATTTTCATTAAGGGCATGGGCGGGTGATGAGTACCAACTTTCTTATTTCCGAGGCTAAAGATGTAATACTTGGATAATAGTTATAACTCAAAGGGCTAAGCATAAAAATATTTTTTTTTATTTTTTAAATCCTCGGTTGCCATGGTGATGGCGGCCATATTGGATTTTATTGACGTTTTTTAAATGGAAATAACTCAAAAACTGTTTGTACAAATTTCACGAAAACGATATATAGTCTGGAGACACACGTGTTTAAGACTTCTTATTGATTACATTTTCAAAAATGAAGATGATTTTTTTTTTTTTTTCTATACATCACTGTAAAAATTTCATTATTTCGTCCAATTTTTTCCCTATTTCAACAATAAAAAAAAACAAAAAAAAACAACTCTAAAAGCGTTCTATAAGTTTTATTTAAACACATATACAAATTTTGTTCAGTTCTGATAATTATTAAGAAAGTTATTTTAACAATGGTGAGAAAAAACAACAAACTGAGAAAAACGCAAAAAACTAACAAAAAGTTGCACAAAATAAAAATATACTGTTGTAAGTCATTAAAATTGACCACATTCATAGCCAGAAGTACCGTGCTGCTGAATATAATCCTTCTGTGCTTGTTCAGCTGCTAGTTTCCTTTTTTTCTGGCGCTCTTTGCTTTTGCCTAAAACTGTTGTCAGGCTGTTGTCTAGGCGTCTTTTTTGACGACCTTCACTTAGTCTTCGACTATGATTTCCTATTTTTCCCAGCAGTGTCATAGCATGCATGGGTCCAAAATTGAATTCTGCTATAGCAGAAATAGCAGCATATTGAACTCTCTTTGATGAATGAAAATTCACCGTGCTGCAGCGTGCCCATATGCAGTTATGCAAACTTTTATTTGCATTTTGCGTTGACCTGAGTTCACATCGCTTCAGGAGTGCCACATCTGATAGCCTTTCATAAACGGGCCACATATATTTGTGGAGTCTGTTGAAGTCCAGGAAACTGTGGATCCTTTTGGCATGTCCACCTTTCATAAACGGGCCACATATATTTGTGGAGTCTGTTGAAGTCCAGGAAACTGTGGATCCTTTTGGCATGTCCACCTTTCATAAACAGGGCACTTATATTTGTGGAGTCTGTTGAAGTCCAGGAAACTGTGGATCCTTTTGGCATGTCCACCTTTCATAAACAGGGCCACATATATTTGTGGAGTCTGTTGAAGTCCAGGAAACTGTGGATCCTTTTGGCATGTCCACCTGGGTACTTGTGTTCAGCCACGTCTCGCTTATAGAAACACCAGCTATCTGCTCCAGGAGGGCAAAATTGGTGCTGCGGATACTCATCTGTGGAGTAATTATGGTGCAAAGATGCCAATATTGCCTTCCTCATATCTTCTGCAGTTTTGTTTCCCCTAACAGCCCTACTGTAATAAATTCTTCTTCTTCTTCTTCGTTCTTAATTATTAGTGTTGAAGGGGATCGAGATTTATCTGCCAGTGGGTTTGAACTCGAGACTTTGTTCGAATTTATCAACCATGAGCTTTTTGCCGACTCGACCACGCCTCTAACACAATTAAGCGTTACGTGTCAACTGGTTATGCGCCATTGAGGCCATTGACTCCGATTTCAGCCTGCTTTTCTTTTTGGATTTGCTTCCATAGCCTTTGTCCAACCAAGAACAAACTACAAGGCAGCAGTTGTTTTATTTTGGAGTTGTCTCTCCTAGAAGAGTGGCTGTCCCCAGCTAACGAGCCTCATCTGCCCAAGGGTTCGAACTCGAGACTTTTCGGTTTAGCAACCATGAGCTTTACCGACTCAACCACTTCGAACCCCTGTAATAAATTGAAAGCTTCCTTATTTTCTCTGCAGTAAGGCTTCCAACCTTTCGGCCTCCTAGTGTCACTCCTGATAAAAAAAGAATATATATAGATAACTAATTTTAAAATTATTACCATACAATACTATGCCAAAATATACAAAAAATAATTATTATTTAAATTTACTGATTCTAGCAAAAGATTATTACTCTTTTTAGAACAGTCCTGGACAAGGTTCCGCAGTGCTGAGCCCAATCTCTTGGAAATATGGTTCACACATTCTTCTTTTGTGATCTTGACAAGTGAACCATATGGTTCAATGCCTGTGACTCTGTCAAAAGCTTTTGAGTCTCCATCGCCAAGCATCACTGTGTATTGCATATTATGCAGTTGTAGTGATCTAGACCAAAGGACTTCAGCTGCTTTTGCCTCCATCATCCCAGAAGGACCTAAAAATGTTAACATTTCAAAATGTTATATTTTAAAAAAAATCACTACACTATAATCACAACAAACATTACTACCATGTGCGTACATTTAAATCATTCAAGATCATAAGTATTGATGAAATATAGCTTAATATTTTATAATTAATTAACTTACCAACGTGGCTTATGGTGCAGCCACCCTCTTTCTGGTGGATTTCCAGCCATTTGTTGTAAGCAGGAGGGTCTTCACTCTTTAGTTTATTCTTCTGTGCACATATACTGCAATGAAGGCTTGTCACGGGCATATCTAGCACTAATCCAGACTGGATTTCAATTACTGTGCCAATGCCAATCAGCGATGAATGTCCACGAGTCAGCCAGGTACCATCAAAAGAAACAGCAATTGGGCCAGGTTCCATCAAAAGAAACAGCAATATCCAATATTTCATTAGTCTCAGCTCTATGAGTGTTTCGGACTATTGCAGCTGCTTTTTTGTACACTTCATTCTCCGTACAGACCATCTCTTTGTGTAAGTTTTTCGTAATGGCTTGAAACGTCTTTTGGTGCATTCCGTGAAGATTGACGTATTCAGCAAACTTGTTCATTTTATAGGGTCCCATGTCTAACGCCAATGACGCTAAGACGATGTCTTTGTTAATTGTATATGGCCCTTTTCTGGATTCTTTTGCAGATGTATCCATACTGTTTACAATCTTTTTACAACTGTGTCACCATACTTGAATGACAGAAGCAAACCCTTTCCATTTTTTTTTATCAATAGTAGCCACTACATCACTGTTACACTCTGGGCAAGGAAATTTATTGATAAAAGCAAGCAGCAAATCACAGTCAACAATAATTCTGCAAGACTGTGTTTTAATATTAGCACTATCAGTACTACATGTAGCATTGCTCTCTTCTGCTTGTAAAAACTGTGTATTACATTGCCGCAGTTTCTTGTTAAATGTGCATACATCTGCATCAGTACTTGTCTGAATGGTGCTGGATTGAGTAGAGGTAGACCTAGCTGTATTCATTTGCATGCGGACTTGCCTTGCTTTTGTTAGATTTGTGAATCGGCTTTTTAGCGAGTGCTGGATCTACCCATTTTCGAAAAAAAAACAAATACAATCCTCTCACTGCATATGGTAATTAACACAACTGAACACAAACTGTATAATAGTATATTTAATTTAATTTAAAAAATGATATGTTAAAGATAATGTAACTATTTCACAGACGCTTAGAGAAACAAGATTAAACCAGATCGAACTTAGTAACGCGCTGAAACTAAGGGAATGTTTACTTCCAAAGCGAAACGACCAATCGCTAACTAGCTTCCGGCGTTGAATGCCAATGAAAAAATTGAGGTCAAAAATTTGCATACCGGAAAATCCCGAATGAGTAAAATAAACAACTTTATGACGTCGGAAAAAGAATCACATTAAAGTATGTATTTTGATTGGTCCTTTAATTTTAGAACATATAAAGAAAGGAGGTCACGGCCTTTCCATTGATATGAAACACATTAGGCTTACGCGAAGCCTAATAGTATTTTTCTAGGTCGAAAAATGACTGTTTTTACCAAAAAAGTAAACAAATGAAGCTGTACACACTACTTTGAAGCCGATTTTTCATAATTAAATAATGCTTTTAAGGTCATAACAATGTCATTTTTAGATATATAGATGTATAGATCAAGTAAAAGTGGGGATCGATGATTTGGTCGATTTATGTCAAAAAGTACACCCGCCCATGCCCTTAACCCAATAAAATTTAGCATTTTAGTTTTCAATATGGATGAATGCTTAATGTCTTCAGTAGCTATATAAATATAGTACTAAGGTGTAAACATAAACAATATAAATACCCAGTGTCTTGGTCAGCTTAGTTGGAGCATTACGCAGGTGTAGGGGTACCGAGGGCAGAGAACCTTCATGATTTCTGACACAGGCGCGGGCGGCCTCCATGGCTGTCATCACTTGGTTGGACTTGGGTGCTCTTGACAGGTAGATGACACACTGTGTTAGGTTTAGCTGGTGAGATGAACAACACACTGTGTTAGGTTGAGCTGGTGATGTGGACAACACACTGTGTTAGGTTGAGCTGGTGAGATGAACAACACACTGTGTTAGGTTTAGCTGGTGATGTGGACAACACACTGTGTTAGGTTTAGCTGGTGAGATGAACAACACACTGTGTTAGGTTGAGCTGGTGATGTGGACAACACACTGTGTTAGGTTCAGCTGGTGATGTGGACAACACAATGTGTTAAGTTGAGCTGGTGATGTGGACAACACACTGTGTTAGGTTTAGCTGGTGAGATGAACAACACACTGTGTTAGGTTGAGCTGGTGATGTGGACAGTACAATGTGTTAGGTTTAGCTGGTGAGATGAACAACACACTGTGTTAGGTTGAGCTGGTGAGATGAACAACACACTGTGTTAGGTTGAGCTGGTGATGTGGACAATACAATGTGTTAGGTTTAGCTGGTGAGATGAACAACACACTGTGTTAGGTTGAGCTGGTGAGATGAACAACACACTGTGTTAGGTTGAGCTGGTGAGATGAACAACACACTGTGTTAGGTTTAGCTGGTGAGATGAACAACACACTGTGTTAGGTTTAGCTGGTGAGATGAACAACACACTGTGTTAGGTTTAGCTGGTGAGATGAACAACACACTGTGTTAACTTTAGCTGGTGAGATGAACAACACACTGTGTTAACTTTAGCTGGTGAGATGAACAACACACTGTGTTAGGTTGAGCTGGTGAGATGAACAACACACTGTGTTAACTTTAGCTGGTGATATGAACAACACACTGTGTTAGGTTTAGCTGGTGAGATGGACAACACACTGTGTTAGGTTGAGCTGGTGAGATGAACAACACACTGTGTTAACTTTAGCTGGTGATATGAACAACACACTGTGTTAGGTTTAGCTGGTGAGATGGACAACACACTGTGTTAGGTTTAGCTGGTGATGTGGACAACACAATGTGTTAGGTTTAGCTGGTGAGATGAACAACACACTGTGTTAGGTTTAGCTGGTGAGATGAACAACACACTGTGTTAGGTTTAGCTGGTGAGATGAACAACACACTGTGTTAGGTTTAGCTGGTGAGATGAACAACACACTGTGTTAGGTTTAGCTGGTGAGATGAACAACACACTGTGTTAGGTTTAGCTGGTGATGTGGACAACACAATGTGTTAGGTTTAGCTGGTGAGATGAACAACACACTGTGTTAGGTTTAGCTGGTGAGATGAACAACACACTGTGTTAGGTTTAGCTGGTGAGATGGACAATACACTGTGTTAGGTTTAGCTGGTGATGTGGACAACACAATGTGTTAGGTTTAGCTGGTGATGTGGACAATACAATGTGTTAGGTTTAGCTGGTGAGATGAACAACACAATGTGATTAGTTTAGCTGGTGATATGGACAATACAATGCACACTATAAATAAACCAAAGAAATTACCTACTTACAACACACTCAATAAATCAACTAAAGAAATGACGTAATTCCAATACATGCTATAAATCAACCAAAGAAATGACCTACTTACAACACTCTACAAATCAACCAAAGAAATGACCTACTTACAGCACACTAAAGAACTGACCTACTTACAACACTATAAATCAACCAAAGAAGTGACCTACTTACAACACACTCTGGCATGCCAATCAGATGACAGGCCTGGTGAGTGGCCACTGCCTGGGTCAGTGCTAGAGGGTCAGCCAGGCCTGAAAAAAGATGACACAGCTTTGGTTTATGGGGGCAAATGGGATGTCATGGTCATAGTTTAATGTCATGGTCATAGTTTAATGTCATGGGCATAGTTTAATGTCATGGGCATAGTTTAATGTCATGGTCATAGTTTAATTCAACACAACCTTCTGCCATTTCTCATCATCGCAGCAATGAAAAGTTTTAATTACATTGTCATTATGTTTTCTAGTTTTGAATTTAAGCACCTTATATTTTTAACATCTGAACATTTTTCACTACCTTTGCAGCAAAACAATTAAATATTTTTTAACCTGTTTATTTAATTATTAATTAAATGATGAAAGAAAACTACTAATTTTAAAGAGAAATAAATTATTCATTGAAGAAAGAAAATAAATTTAGAGAAAAAAAAGGAGTAGCTTTTTTCAGGAAAAAATACCCTTCTATCAAGAAAATCAATGATAAAAATAACTTTTCATGCATTCTTATTAATAGAAAAAAGTACATCAATTATTCTACCAAAATAATTTATTGAATTAGTGTTTGAATAAGTAATTATTTTTTGTTAATTTCATAATGCAGTGACATAGCTGTTTAAAAAGTGGCTGCTGAGTAATGTTATGTTAAAATAATGCATCTTATATTGAAAAATAAAATACTTAAAAAAAACTTTTTAAAAAACCACGTTTTTCTTGTGGACTAAAAAGTAGAAAATAAATTTTCATACATTTGATGACAAAAAACGTGGGTACGTTCACCATAAAATTTCCCGACCCATCTGCCCGACCCACGTTTTTTGTCAAGAAAAACGTGGGTTTTTTTAAAGTTTTTTTTAAGTAATTTATTTTCTCCTTTTTAGTCCGTTGCTACACATGAAAATCATGGTTTTTTAAAAGTTATTTATATAGTTTATTTTCTACTTTATCTAATGACTTGATTAAGTATGACTTGACTAAGTGTTTATAAATACACGGACTAAAAATCTTGAGCGACCGATACGCTTTAAACAGAGAAAGGGCGTAATTTAATTAAGCCTACATGCCGTGACCAGGATTCGAACCTGAGTTGTCACGGCCACAACGCGAAGTACTAACCACTATACGATCACGGCCAGCGCGCTCACATCGATTGGGGCCGAAGTAACTGTGTCAATAGGCCTCCAGTCTTGTCGGTATATTTAGAAATCATGTCCTTGATTTTATGGTCCTTGGGGCGTAATTTAATTAAGCTAATTTAGGTCTCTAATTGCTAGTTTTTATGATTGCATCTGAAATAGTTAGGCGAAAATAGCCTGCATTCCGAATTTCAGATCTCTAGAGCAATCAGAAGTGGGCTAATTTTCGATGTCAATTTTAACAACAAACCCACAAACAAACAAATAAACGCGAAGCTGAGTTAAGAAAAACGTGTTAACAAAGTATTAAATTACCAACATCCTCACTAGCAAAGATGACCAGCCTGCGTGCCACAAAGAGAGGGTTCTCTCCCCCTTCTATCATCCTCATCATCCAGTAGAGGGCAGCACTAGCATCAGACCCGCGCATTGATTTGATGAGAGCAGACACAATATTGTAATGTTCTTCACCTACCAGTCAAAGAAAATAGTTGTCAGTAAAACTAAACTAAGTCCCAAGCAACAAAATCATAATTCGATAATTAGCTACTGAAATCAGCTAACTGACCATAAATAAGTATTTAAAATCAGCTAATATTGGTTTTAACCTAGCAAACGTAGTTGACATTGTGTGTGGTTGATGTGCGTGATTTGTGTTGTGTGTGGTTGATGTTGTGATTTGTGTTGTGTGTGGTTGATGTTGTGTGGTTGACGTGTGTGATTTGTGTTGTGTGTGGTTAATGTTGTGTGGTTGACACTGTGTGTGATTTGTGTTGTGTGTGCTTGACCTTGTGTGTGGCTGACATTGTGTGTGGCTGACGTTTTGTGAGGTTAACAATGTGTGTAATTTGTGTTGTACGAGAATCATGTTAAAGCAGCTTCACTCTGTACTGAAAGTCTACACTCCAGACTCAGTCAAGTGATAAAAAAACTAACCATTCTTGTCATACAGCACATGAGAGCGCTGTAAAGCTTCTTTGATCACATCAATGCTAATACAAGCAGCCTTGTGTGGACCCTGTCCTGCCAGACTCCCCTCAAACGCCAACTGGAGTCCATTGAGTGCACATCTGGCATCCCCATCCACCAGCCCTGCCAGTACCTCTATGGCTGCCTCTTCTATGTAAACATCTGGGGAACTGGATTGGAGAAAAAAAATGTTTTCTTCAGCAAACATGCACCGTAAACAATACTTGAATTGACCAGCTCATAAGTTTGTTAACAAAACAATTAGTAACATAACAAGATTTATTCTAATCTACTGGCTCAGATTACCAAACATTCTACTCTCTCTTCAAAAAACAACTATAACTATCCTTTTTTTTCAATAATCCTCCCTCTCTCCACAATAACTGCCGCCTCTATGCTCCACAAAGGGGAATAATTCATTAGAAAAACCAAGTAACACTAGAGTAAAATTCATCCAAGAAATTAATAGGGATAAGGTGGGTTTGTTACTAGCAAAAGTTATACTCAAGTTATTCTATAATTGTTATCCTAGTAGTACAAAAGTTATACTCAAGTTATTCTGTAATTGTTATCCAAGTAGTACAAAAGTTATACTAACCTGCCAAAACTGTTTTGTTTCACATCAATGCCTTCCATCTTTTCTACAACTGTTATCCCAAGTTGAGGCAAGGCACGTTTAATTATAGCCTTGATGTCATCGATCTAATGAAAGAATAATTCTTGTTAGCCAAATGTACCTGGAAAAATTAAATTTTTTAATACATGATTTAGTATAGATCTAAAAAAATACATTATGATAATTCAAATTGATTTATATTTAAAACTATTAAATGGCCTACATTTAAGTAAATAATGACATAATTATTAATTAACCAGGTAATGGCCTACGTTCAACCAGTTAATGGCCTACATTAACCAGTTAATAGCCCACATTTAACCAGTTAATGGCCTACATTTTAACCAGTTAATGGCCTACATTTTAACCAGTTAATGGCCTACATTTAAACAGTTAATGGCCTACATTAACCAGTTAATAGCCTACATTTAACCAGTTAATGGCCTACATTTTAACCAGTTAATGGCCTACATTTAAACAGTTAATGGCCTACATTTCAACCAGTTAATGGCCTACATTTAACCAGTTAATGGCCTACATTTAACCAGTTAATGTCCAACATTTACCCAATTAATGGCCTACATTCAACCAATTAACGGTCTAACTATAACGAGACCTACCTTTAACTTCTCTAAAGTTATAACACGACAGCGACTGAGAAGCGCACTGTTGACATGAAATGATGGGTTTTCTGTGGTGGCACCTATAAGGGTGATCGTACCATCTTCAACATGGGGCAGCAGAGCATCCTAGAAGAAACAATTTTTTTTTTTTTTTGCTAAATTTTTATATCATTAATAAATTTCTCATGTTACTAATTTTATCAATGAAATTAGAATAATATAAGTAATTATAGGCTGAGTATTCATAAAACAAGTATAAAAAAAATTATAATAGAAAACTCTAAAATAGGAAAATAAAACAATCTTTCTTTTGTTCGTCTCAAGAATAAGTAAAAAATAATTAATGAGCGACCAACGCTTTTACAAAAGAAAAAAAAAAGTTTGTTATATTTTTATTTTTCATTTTTCCTACTTGTTATAATAAAGTTTTTATACATTTTTATTTTCAACTTTTTAGTAACTATGTATTCAACCAAAAAAAATTAAAAACTGATAGACATTTAAATTTTAAAAAACAATTAAAAGCCTATCATACTTATCCTTTACATTTGTTCATTCTTATACAGTAATACCTTACATGACTAAAAATGTTTACTTTAAAACTCATTTATCAGCTTGTGGTTAAGCTTTGAATGACAAATATCTGCCCCTCATTAACATGAGTGGTTGGGTGGGAAAACATCCTGTCACCTGGCTGATTGAGAGGTCACCAGTACCATTCTCTCCCTTTTTAATGAGTTTAGAATTTTATAAATTAATGTTTAACAACTTATTTAATAACTAATTAGATTAGAATGCATTGTCATAGGAAATGAAGTTCAAAAGAAAATTTAAAAGAAATATCTGCATTTAAAGTAGGTCAAAGTTGAGTTACAAGCCTAAGCCACAAACCCACAGAGAGACATTGTAACCTAAGAAAAAAATGGTGTTTCACCAACCTGTTGTGTTTTGTTAAATCTGTGAATTTCATCCAGAAACAAAACAGTTTTTCTCCGCAGCATTTTCAGGTCATTCTTGGCCACTTTGGCCAACTCCTTGACATCACTGATGCCAGCTGATGTTGCTGACATGGCCACAAACTTGATGTTGCCAACATCTTTACATTTCTGGGCTACAATTTTTGCTAGGGTGGTCTGGGGAATGGAAGAAACAATAGCAACAGATTAGACAAAAAAATTACATTGAACTGCAATCACAAGAGGTTAAGAAAAAAAAAATATAAGTTGTGACAAATATACAGAGGCTAAGAAAAATTTTAATAAACATTTATCTATAGAATAAATATATTACAAATGCTCCTAAGGTAATGATAATCTCTTATAAAATAAATATGTAAAAGTATTTTGTTAACATGATAAACACTACATAAAATATGAAAATAAACATAGATGACGAAACAGTAGGCCTACTACAAAGTGTTTATACAAAGAAAAAGTATAACTGAAATAAATATGCAAACCCTAGAAAATAAATATCCTACATGAGTATTAATAGAACTGAAATAAAATATACAAGCTTTAGAATTCAAATATACTTCAATAGTATTAATAAAACTGAAATAAAATATAAACATGCAAGCCCGAGAAGATAGTTATCCTGCGTATGTACGAGAAATCTGACCAACCTTCCCACAGCCTGGGGGCCCCCACAATATCATGGAAGGTATTCTCTCCCCTTGACTTAATAAGGTATGCAGCAAACTTTTTCTACCAACTGCCTGATCCTGACCGACATAGTCTTCAAACTTCTGTGGTCGCATTCTCTCAGCCAGGGGGACATTACTTGTGACACCTTTAGATACCACTCCCTGAGGTACAGGGTTAGATGACTTAGAGACTCCCTGATCAGCCTTTGGAAAAAGTAAAAAGATTTAAATTTTATTTAGCAACTTACATACATTTTAAATACTAAATTTTCAATTGTTTTGAATTACAATATTTAAAAAACTACAGTTACAGTTATAAACATGGCCGTGCGATTCGCTGAGCGTGGCACTAAAGCTGGGATTTGCGCAGTTCGCTCCGCGATACGCTTAAGCTTTACCCTAGGGGACACGCAATCTAAAAATAGATATCAGGACTGCCCGTTTTTTTTTTGTCTCAGCAATTCAATGTTTAACATAGTTTAAATGTTTTATATGAAAAAAATAAAGAAAATAATATAGATTTGGTAGGTCTGATGATAGTTCTAGATCTTTTCTTGGTAGATCAAACTGTGCTTTTATTGCTCACTAGCTCAAAAGTTAACTGTTGAAATGTTAGCGAATCACACCATCTTTTAGTGTATGATTATGTATTTTAAGAATTGTCTTATAATATTAATAAACTTGTGTATTCAGCTGTTTGGAAACTGTAGTACTAGCATTAATTTACATTAAATATTTTTGTAGATGTTATAGGTGCAAATAATACAATGTATCTGTCCTACATGAGTCGGATTTACAGTGGCTCTTAATTTACTATTAGAGTGGTGCCAGCAAGCCAGTAGTAGCTTTGGTTCAAAGCCAACTCATTTGATAATTTAATGTATAATGAAACAGACAAAATGAACTTAAATATGTACAGTTTATTAAAATACAAAAGAATGGAGTACATAAAAAAAGACATGGTGGGGCCTATGTATTAATTTATCATATAGCAGCCAGCTAATCCAAAAGCAACATGACCTGGGGTCATATAATTATTATAATACAAGAAGTATGCATAAAAATATAAACAGCAACTTAATAAAAATCAAGCATGTACATGCAATAAGTGGGTAAAAAGCTCCATAGGAGGTAACATAACAAATGACTAAGTTGGAACACATGTATAAATAAAATTAGTCCTAGAAAAGCAAAGCATAATCACATGTACAACTCAAAACACATGACTGAGTGTGACCCAAAACACAATAATAGTTACATTTGTAAAAAAAATGGCAATCAAAAATAAAATAAGCACAGCCAACTTTAGCTCTATCTCTATCACAAAAACAACATACATAACCATTAATGACATCTATATCACCTAAACAAACACTATGAAACCACCTAACACAAGAATCACATCCGACCCACTCTGTTGTCCTACCCTTAGCCAACCTTTTATCTGGATCCTCTAACCTACAAATGTTACATCTATTCTTCAAAACTTTACCTTTCTTTGGCAATCCTATAGCAGTCAAACCATAACCTTTGGGCCTACCTCTCTTTGCAACTTTTAAGGGGGGCTTGACTGCTAAAGTACCTTCAATGCTAAGTACAATCTCACTATTTACACTATCAACTTCAACACTGCTACCAGAAGCTACATCTGCAGGGATCCTAACACTATCAAGGTCCATTTCTACAACACTACCAACACTGCTACCATAAGCTACAACTGCAGGGATCTTAACACTATCAAGGTCCATTTCTACAACACTACCAACACTGCTACCATAAGCTACAACTGCAGGGATCTTAACACTATCAAGGTCCATTTCTACAACACTACCAACACTGCTACCATAAGCTACAACTGCAGGGATCTTAACACTATCAAGGTCCATTTCTACAACACTACCAACACTGCTACCATAAGCTACAACTGCAGGGATCCTAACACTATCAAGGTCCAATTCTACAACACTACCAACACTGCTACCATAAGCTACAACTGCAGGGATCTTAACACTATCAAGGTCCATTACTACAACACTACCAACACTGCTACCATAAGCTACAACTGCAGGGATCCTAACACTATCAAGGTCCATTTCTACAACACTACCAACACTGCTACCATAAGCTACAACTGCAGGGATCCTAACACTATCAAGGTCCAATTCTACAACACTACCAACACTGCTACCATAAGCTACAACTGCAGGGATCTTAACACTATCAAGGTCCATTTCTACAACACTACCAACACTGCTACCATAAGCTACAACTGCAGGGATCCTAACACTATCAAGGTCCATTTCTACAACACTACCAACACTGCTACCATAAGCTACAACTGCAGGGATCCTAACACTATCAAGGTCCATTTCTACAACACTACCAACACTGCTACCATAAGCTACAACTGCAGGGATCCTAACACTATCAAGGTCCATTTCTACAACACTACCAACACTGCTACCATAAGCTACAACTGCAGGGATCTTAACACTATCAAGGTCCATTTCTACAACACTACCAACACTGCTACCATAAGCTACAACTGCAGGGATCCTAACACTATCAAGGTCCATTTCTACAACACTACCAACACTGCTACCATAAGCTACAACTGCAGGGATCCTAACACTATCAAGGTCCATTTCTACAACACTACCAACACTGCTACCATAAGCTACAACTGCAGGGATCCTAACACTATCAAGGTCCATTTCTACAACACTACCAACACTGCTACCATAAGCTACAACTGCAGGGATCCTAACACTATCAAGGTCCAATTCTACAACACTACCAACACTGCTACCATAAGCTACAACTGCAGGGATCTTAACACTATCAAGGTCCATTTCTACAACACTACCAACACTGCTACCATAAGCTACAACTGCAGGGATCCTAACACTATCAAGGTCCATTTCTACAACACTACCAACACTGCTACCATAAGCTACAACTGCAGGGATCCTAACACTATCAAGGTCCATTTCTACAACACTACCAACACTGCTACCAGAAGCTACAACTGCAGGGATCCTAACACTATCAAGGTCCAATTCTACAACACTACCAACACTGCTACCATAAGCTACAACTGCAGGGATCCTAACACTATCAAGGTCCATTTCTACAACACTACCAACACTGCTACCAGAAGCTACAACTGCAGGGATCCTAACACTATCAAGGTCCAATTCTACAACACTACCAACACTGCTACCATAAGCTACAACTGCAGGGATCCTAACACTATCAAGGTCCATTTCTACAACACTACCAACACTGCTACCATAAGCTACAACTGCAGGGATCTTAACACTATCAAGGTCCATTTCTACAACACTACCAACACTGCTACCATAAGCTACAACTGCAGGGATCCTAACACTATCAAGGTCCATTTCTACAACACTACCAACACTGCTACCATAAGCTACAACTGCAGGGATCCTAACACTATCAAGGTCCATTTCTACAACACTACCAACACTGCTACCAGAAGCTACAACTGCAGGGATCCTAACACTATCAAGGTCCAATTCTACAACACTACTACCAGAAGCCTCAACTAAGGGGGTCGTAACACTGCTATCAATATGCACACTAGAAACAATGCTAAAGTCCAAATCTTCACTAACTAAAGACTCAAACTGATCAAACAAACGAAGATAATAACCTAGCCTATCTGTCCCTAACTCAACTAACCTTTGCAACAAAATATCAGTGAGATTTAATCAACGAGTATCTAGAAGTTTTACCTAAAGTTGGCCTGCCAGCAAATTGAGAAACAGTCACGGGCACAGGCAAAACATCAACAGAAAAATTGTACTTGATAAACCACCTGGCCCCAAAAAGATCAACACTGATCAATTCAAGGCCAAGTACACGACGTACAGCAATAACATGCCTACAAGGAAGGCCCATGGTGCAAAACAAATGACAATTACATTGATTATTTACAACATTATAGGTATAATTTTTAAATAAAACAAAATGGCCATTTTCATGGGCAGAGACATTCAACTCTGTGCTGCAACCTCTTTTGTTACAATAGAAAGTGCATATGGTGTTACTTGTTTCTGCAGATGTGGAAATTGTGATGGTCCTTTTTTTGTAATGGATTTGAATTGTTTGTGTGTGTAGTGTGCTGTGAGTGAAGTATTAAGATAAAGAATCCTATCAAGGCAAAGATCTAAAGGCAAAGGATGTGTAATGACAGTTTACAGTTTTTGGTGGTATGATTCTATGCCTTTGTTTGTATTGTCTCCTAAATTAAAATGCTCTGCCCTATGAAACTCAACCCAATGGGTGGCAATGCCATCCCAGTTGCGCATAAAGTAAACAGCAAATTCATCATGTAAGCTGAATAAAATACATTTGTTTTGGTCATACTCAGCCTGACTCTTTGCATGGCAAAGCTTTACTAGGACTAACATGATTTGAACCTTCTTGTCAGATGAGCAAGAAATTTCTGACAACTTTTTCTTAAAAGCCTTCTTTACCTGAAAGAGGCATAGCTCACACACAGCATTTGGGAAATTCTCTCCCAAACAAGCCACCTCAGTTAGATCTTTATCAACCATAAATGTTGATATCTTATCAACATCATTGTGGCTTTTAAATATAGAAAATATCTTATCATACATCATTGGAGACTCATTAGCTATTAGAGCAAAAGCTGCCACCCGTGACATTCCATTGCCATCGACAACTAAAAATGTCATTAAGGGCATAGCCCGATTATTCAAACAGTAAGTGGAATCAATTAAAACATGTTCAGGGAAATCCCTAAATGCCTCCCTCATGCTGCTTGTTTGCAAGAACAAAAACTGCAACAAGTCCTGGTCATCAACACCATATTCCACCAAGCCTTTGTCTTTATTTCTGAGGTCGTCTACCACTCGCAGCATCAACTGAGCATCATTGAGTGTTGTGCCAGTGGGCGTTGTTGTGTCTACCACTCGTAGCATCAATTGAGCTTCATTGAGTGTTGTGCCAGTGGGCGTTGTTGTGTCTACCACTCGCAGCATCAACTGAGCATCATTGAGTGTTGTGCCAGTGGGCGTTGTTGTGTCTACCACTCGTAGCATCAATTGAGCTTCATTGAGTGTTGTGCCAGTGGGCGTTGTTGTGTCTACCACTCGTAGCATCAACTGAGCTTCATTGAGTGTTGTGCCAGTGGGCGTTGTTGTGTCTACCACTCGTAGCATCAACTGAGCTTCATTGAGTGTTGTGCCAGTGGGCGTTGTTGTGTCTACCACTCGTAGCATCAACTGAGCATCATTGAGTGTTGTGCCAGTGGGCGTTGTTTTGTCCTGAAAAACAAGTAAAGAACTTGTTAAAATATAGAATTACTATACATTCGAACATATATACTTCCTCAATGCTTCAGCTGCTTAAAACAGCAATCTTAAAATTATTGACAATCTTTTAATCCTTTCAGATACGCACCTTTTTCCTTATTCTCATCTTTTCATTCCAAATGTCCTAATTAATTACAGGCTTGCCTTTTGCCTGTAAATCCTGAGCAATCACTTTCGTGGGAACATTCAGCCTGTGTAGTTCCTCAACTCTTTGCTTTTCCTCCACAGTGAGCTTACGATTTTTTGAGTATCGCATGTATAATTCTTGTCCTATTGAAAAAATAAAAATATGAAAAAGAATGCCTAATTAATTAGAGTTGTTAATTCTAATTTGGAATATTCTAAGAGTCTAGTCTAAGCTATACATACCAAATGGGATGATTATGCTCATCAATCAATTGCTTGACAAAAACTTGTGTCTTATTCTTTGACAGACTTGCAGGTATCTTAGCAGGGCATTCGTCTTTGGTCGATCTGCAAATAGACATCTTTTTAATATGCTAGCACTGAATTCTTGAATATTTCGGGATTTAAATCTGATAAGAGTCTCTAGACTAGATGCCATCAATTTTTACATTCCAAAATATACAACTAGTTTAAAAGCTGTCCTACAGCACTAACCACCAAGGTGTATATTATAACTATAGATCAAGATAGCTGTACTTACAAGGTCTGTCTTCTCCCCTGTCCTCGCGGCTGAAAGGTGCCATGGTGGGAACATCTGAATGTGTAGTATGTAAACACCATGGCGGGATGCACAATTTTCCCTTCCTTGATGGTGCATTTTTTGGCAGATGTTTTTACCATCGGCTGATAAGTTTCCTCACAATAATTCTGCACAGCGCAGAAGAAATCATACCAGGTAGCAAAAGTATCATTAGCTTTAAAAGGCATTTTAGTTATTGTGCGAAGAATGAATTCAGGAAGCAATCGAGAGAGGCTATCTTGAAACAAGATAAACTGTACAGCCCGGGAAACGTTCTTATACCAACTGCTGCGCATGCGCGGAAGTATATTCGAAATTTACTGCGCATGCGCGAAAGTTTATTTGAAATTTACGTAGGTATCGCGAGATCTCTGCGAATTCCCGATACCTATTTTTAGATTGCGTGATACGCATTCTCTGACTTACCCATCACGCTGAGCGAACTACCTAGTCACTTCGTATAAACATTACTACAGCACATTTAATATTAATTTTTAGAAATTAGGGAAAGGGGGCTGGGCATAGAAATCCCTATACTATACTATAAAATACTCTATACTCCCTACTATCAATTCATATGAATCACAGAAACAGGCGAGCTCTACTCCATCTGCCTTATTGACTCTCTCAGATCCAAAAACCTGACATCACTTTTTCTTTTTAAAAAAAGAATATTTAAAAATTCATTTAGATCTAGTAAAAATTCAAGAGGCAATGCCATGCCCATTGCCATTTAATGCCATTTAATGATTTTTTTTACTAAATCTAGAATAGATCTAGATCTAGATCTAGTACTACTAGATCTACTAGATTTCTAGTAGGCCTAAGTTTAAATTTCCGAAGATTTACCTGCAATGCCATATTTTAGGTAATGCTTACCTCCTCTGTACAATCAATTGTAATAACGTCACTATTGTTATTTATCTTTGCATTCTTTGGTGACACACCTGCTGCATGTTTTGTTGAAGTTTTCGTAAACCTGCTGCTGGAAGTATCATGATCAGCTGTTGAAGTCGAGCTAATTTTAATTTTTGCGGGTTTCGTTAGGAAATCCCAGTCAGAAGTTCTTCTCTTTTTGCCTGCACTTCCTACTTGTTTATCTGAATCACTATTTAGACAAGAGTTGACATGGTCAGATATCAACGACGAACTATAAAGCTGAGAACACACTGGACAAACTATTTTGTCCGACATTGTTTATTCCCGCGAATGTCAAGGGAAATAACTAACGTTATCTTTACTAACTCTTGGCATTACAGGGACTTTGCCCTTCTTTCAGCTTAGTCCCATTGCAGACGTTTAATTAATGTAAGTTAATTTGAAAGGCTAGATTAGTTTTTCGACTTTTTGCTTATTGGCGATTATTACAAATGTGGGCATGGCTAATCAGTAATCTACAATTACCAAAACACCACTCTAGCAGGCCTACTTTATTCTGTGTACAATTTTGTTGACCTATGTCAACATATGAAAAAGCAACATCATAGCTACCTTCTCAAGCCAAGGAGACTTATGTAGTTTAGGCTTAGTGTTCAAGTGCCATATCATTCAATAGGCTTTCTCTTTGATTAACAGGGAGTATAAATGTTTGTATGTAAATCTAGCAAGCTTAGCATTGCATGCAACTGAGGTCTATTTTTTAAAGTCTACATACATAATGACAACAAATTACAAACACAAGGAATGACAAATAAGCAACAGACACAATGTTTTTACTGTATTATTTCTTTTACTGTACACTTCTATTATTTATATAGCATGTGTTAGACAAGGTCTTCTAAAGCTTCTCTATAGAGACATTTCAATAGCCTGGTACATATTGGTCAAATTTTCAACAGACATTCTTTCAATATGTTGCTAGTGAAAAAAATGTTTAATTTATATAAGCTCTGAAATGTACATATACATTTGTTAGAAAAATAAGAAGTAGGGTTAACTTTACATGATAGCAAACATTAGAGCTGTAGAAATTGCATAAGTAAAAATGTTGTATACCAAGTGCTTTGTTTATTATTGGATATTTGCATATTGTTGTGTAGACATCATACACAATCAGCTTGTTGTGTTTTGTGTGATATGGTCACATATGATGGAATGCAAAAGTAATAGGCTATTTGAAAATGCAACAATAAAATATAGTATATATAAATATATAGGTATATAAGTTTGAATGTGTACAATCCAATATTTAGTTTCACTTTGGAATTATTGGTCACATACTCATCATAGAATATAAAGTTTTTAAAAAAGTTAAACAAGTAAATGCTGGATGGTTTTGTTGTGATAAATTTGTACAAGTGATAAAGCATCAATCAGCCATTCATAAAACATTCAAGCCAACAAACTTTTGTTACAGCCAGCTGCCATTACCAGGGTGAATTTTTTTCACTATTTACTAACAGAAAGTTGTGATCTCTCTCAGAGAAGATACTGTTGTACACAAGACTGGAATTGTCAATGGCCTGGTAGCCAATGGGAGATGTGGAGACAAACATTGATAGAAATATAAAAATAGACATGAATATGACACCCTCAGAAAATCATTCAACTTCCTAAGACATGTGCAAGAATGGAATCCCAAGGAATGCCGAGAAAAGAGAAATGGCTGGATTGACCTAGCCCAGAGGAAAGAAAATGTCTACCAATACTCTCATGGACTTAACAAACCACAACATTTTTAAAGCAAGTAGAATGCAACTATTTAATGGGCCTAACAAGACATTTTATTAGGCCTAATGCAAATCTTTAATAGGCCTAAAATATAATAAAAAATAACTTTTGATTATCTGCCTTTTCACGCACACATACACATCTTTCTTAATTTATTCCACATATCACAAATATGAGAGGTAAAGTACTTTGTGAGGATTAAAAAAATGTAGAGAAACTACAGCAAATTAAAGCAGTGGGAACATTGATCAGCATTTTGTCAAGAGAGAAAAAAAATATCAATGGAACAATATGTTTAGTCTAGTTTATCATGCCTATCAAGAAATAAAGTATGACAGAACAATTCTGGTACACAAAGGATAAAATCAACTACTTAATGAAAACATTTCTTGCTGACAAAATGAAAAAAATTGTATTCCTAAAATAAAGACAACTTTAATGCTCTGAACACAGAATAAACCTAAAAGATTAGACTCAGTCAGTGTACTTCCAAGTTAATAGAAACATCACATGAACTGTTCATTAGTCATACCCTGAATGAATCATCTATGTGAACATAGTTGAGTATTTACTAAAAGAAAATCCCACAACAAAAAATGTAATGAAAATTCATAACTGTACTACACAGCTGGTAAAAAAAAAAATATTTTGTTACATATAGCTGACAATTCTGTACTTAACAATCTCTACATAGAAATACAATTTTAAAATGTTGGAACATCAAAGTTAAATGACAAGAAACAGGCAAGTAAAGAAAACATCACACACAACTGTACACTTGAAGCTCACACAAACTAAAAGAGGTATATACTGTAGTGGCTAAAAAATGTAGTCAATAAATTACCAAGATGGACAACAAACAATCTTGTCTTAGAAGGCACTTTTTTAACATCATAGTCAGTTCTCTGTGGTATATTACTGCTACAGATTGTGTGCTTATGCACCTGAAAACATGTTTTTGTCACATCAATAAATACATCTTTGATATACCTGGCTCATTCAGACAAATTGAAATATTACCTAAGTATTACTTCTATGGGACAAACTTTCACCATCTTAGTACTTCTATAGGACTTAGTGAGTATACATAGCAGATTGTGAAAATAAATAGAATAATGCTAAAGAGATGGAGCTCTGTATGGGACACAACTCAAGCCACCAGCTTACACAGCTGATAAGACTTTACTATTGCATGTAACAATCCCAGTTCACTGCCAGCATTTTGTACTTTATTATCCAATAGTATCAGGAAAAATATTTTGACTAATATCATTCAGTACAATAATGACTGGATAACAAGTAGCAAACTGACATAATTACACAAATAAAACAACAATAAAAATAAATCATCTAAGAATAGAAGTGAATGAAACCTAACAATGACAAACTATGATAACAAAAGATGTAAGTGTATATTAGATGGGCGTGAACACTACAACCAATCAACCCTCTACACTAACAACGAAAAGAGTTATACAAATACTTTGCTTAGTAGGACATTTCTCAATCAAAAATATGTAGTCTTTTTTTAAGTTGCAAGTTCAAAAAAAGTAAAAGAAATGTGTTCATAAATAAATTCCACAATGCTTTTTAAATTCTTTTAAACACACCTCATACTATGTCATAGTAACAAATGTTAGGATATAACCATTTGTAACACAGCGGAATAAAAGACAACAAAACAAAGATTTTTCCTTCCACAATTTCAAATTCTGACTAGGCAAAAAGTCATTAGCGAATGTATTGGATCATCCTTAGTACTTTTCTTTGGATAAGTACATTAACAACCAAATACATACAGGTAAATACTAAACTAACTGAAACAATCGGTAGATTATATCAAAGATAGTATATGTTGGTATGACATAGTTATATTTGCATATAAATATTTTATTTAAAAATTGTCACGTCAGCTATTAAGAATGTCTGTGTTACTGTAATGTCATTTAGTTGGGCTAGTTTTGGCTGATAAAGATTGTATACAAATGTGTGTTACATTGAAGTCAACATGTTTAAAAAATTATCTAGTAAACCAATTACTACTTACAAATAAAATACTTATCACCATTCATGGGTACAAAGCTAAAAGCCATCAAATATTAAAGTTATTTTAAATTAATGAAAAAAACACATGTCAAACTGAGATAATATAAATAAAAAAAGAAACTTTAAAATTACCTAACAGCAATGACATATAGCTACAAGCTAGAAAAATAAAACTTACAGGACACAACCACCAGACAACCAGTTTTAAAATTTCTAATGTGTAGTACTGCTGAAGATGTGTACCCATGTCCAATGACAAAAAAAACATTTTCATGGATTAGTACCAATGTTTAGTTACAGATACAAAAATTTTCATATAAATTCAGATGAACATACAATTCTATAAATTAATCTTTAAGTAAACTGTATCCAAAAACATGTTTAAAAGTTACAAAAACAAACCTGGGAATGCTCAAGTCTTCAAGATATAAATAAAGCACAACCATTAACACTAGTAAAGGGATGTATAGTGTATAGATTAAAGTATATAGAGCTGCAACAGCATTATATAAACATGGTTAACCATTCACTTCCTCAATGCACAAACCTAAACTTGAGTATTTGTAACCTAAAATGTACTTCACTAGTCACAATTTTTGGAGCCATAAAGAAAGCCTTGACCGTACACTACTGTAAAATCGAAGAACTCTACAATTTTCTTGAAGTAGGATCCATCTCTTCTTTCAACAGAATAGCTGAGGCACAGGTGAACGAGCCTAAAGAGTGCTGGACGTAGGGTCCTCCTCCTCCTGCTGCCCATTCTCACTGGTGTTGTCTGAATGTTTCACCACCACCTTGCTCTTGGCTCCCTTACCCATACTGCCACTCTTCCTCCCACTACCATTGTTATTGCCTATGCTCCCTGAGTTCTTAGAACTCCTACTGTCTCTATACTGTTTTATCAACTCCAGCGGCTCCTCAGGCTCCTCGTGGCCAGCAGGGGACAAATGGTCATGAATTTCATCCTCGTCGTCCATCTCAGCCACAGGCTCGCTGTCGTAGGACTTGGCTGAGTGGTACGAGTTGTTGGAAACCTGGGACTGTTGGGAGACCTGGGATGTAGATGACATGTTGCTGTGACGACCAACAGCCCCACGCTGGGGTGCCAGGGTCATGCCCTGGTTAACTGGTTTCACTGTGATGATGAGGTTGGAACTGTTTGCGACCATCATGTCTGTCACCTACTCACATAATGAGAAGAAAAAACAATATGATACAAAACACAACACAGGTAGATCAATCATCCTTAAGTTAATCATCTCAATAAACTTGCTAACTGTTTAGATTTTGAAGTAAGGATGCTTAAATTGATAGAAACAGGTTTATTTTTAAAGATTGTTAAAGGTATTATACGGATATTCCATAAAATACAAGTAGAGTTTTTTAAAAACATCTAAAGGGAAAATGAATTTTAGCGCGTTACATAATCATCTTCTATACATCAGATCCTCATCCCAGCTGGGTTAACTAAAATGGCTATTCTAATTCAACAATTCTTACAACTAGAAGATTAAACTAAAAAGGACACTGACCTGATCCAACTTTTTGCCAGCAACTTCAATACCATTAACCTCTAACACTTCATCATTTACCGCCAGTAGCCCTGTGCTCTCTGCAAGCCCTCCTGGCACCAAGCGAGAAATAAAAATGGCAGGCACCTGGAAAAAGTATGTGAATAGTTAGTTTTACTTTGCTAGCATAATTTCACATCTCTGCTACTTTTAAAAATATACAAGATGTTAGTTTTATGTATGTTCTTTTATTAGGTTTGTAAACATTTACATTGTTTTAGTACCACAACAGCATCATTTTTAGTACATATATAGATGCTGGACCTAATATTTTATGGGGAACTGCATAATTTAGAAGGAAATAGCTGTGATCTTCAATTTTAAAAAGAATTGTGTGCACTTGTGAATAGTACCAAAGATAGACATTGCTTTGCTATTACCATATGACAAAGACTTACTTTGATTAACTAAAAGCAATAAAAAATACAATTTTTATCATCATTGCCCCTTTATCTTTTGGTACAAAAAAATTTGATTTAACAGTTATTAAAGAATGTTTTTAATAGCCCACCCATTTACTATTTTAAAGAGTTTTATAACACAAGGGGAGCACGAAATGAACAATGATTAAGAAGTTCAGGAAAAAAATCAATGCAGTCAATCTTCTCTAAACCATGAGGTGTGACCCTGACACTAGGGGAGCTAGAAATGAATAATGATTAAGGAGTTGAAGAAAAAATCAAAACCTTCTCTAGACCATGAGGTGTGACCCTGACACTAGGGGAGCTAGAAATGAATAATGATTAAGGAGTTGAAGAAAAAATCAAAACCTTCTCTAGACCATGAGGTGTGACCCTGACACTAGGGGAGCAAGAAATGAACAATGATTAAGGAGTTGAAGAAAAAATCAAAACCTTCTCTAGACCATGAGGTGTGACCCTGACACTAGGGGAGCAAGAAATGAACAATGATTAAGGAGTTGAAGAAAAAAATCAATGCAGTCAACCTTCTCTAGACCATGAGGTGTGACCCTGACACTAGGGGAGCAATATATGAACAATGATTAAGGAGATGAAGAAAAAATCAAAACCTTCTCTAGACCATGAGGTGTGACCCTGACACTAGTCCCATCTCTTATGTAAAATCCCAAAGGTTTATCTGATCCATTCTTCATCAACTTGACTCTCCTGTGTGTCTCAGGCACTATGTCCACGTCAATAATGGCTGAGACACGCCTGAAATCTTCCAGGAGACTTATCTGTATGCGGGGACGTGGGGAAGTCTCTGAACTTATCAGCTTGGATATGGGATTTCTTTTCCTTACTGGCTGAGATCCATAGCCATTTAGCTCTCCATAGCTTTCACCTAGAGGAATTAAATAGTAAATACAGTTTGATAAATGAGAAACAAAGCTTAAATTAAATAATTTGTAGCTATCTAGGATAGCAGAAAACAACTAAAGAAAATTAAATGTTCAATATACCATAACAAAAATTTTAATTTCAGACTGGATAATAATAGCATGTAGAGCAGAATATGGCCAAAGCAATATCTATTCTCTGTAAAAAATTTCTAACTTGTATCAGTATTGTTTTCAGTTTTTGTACATTTACTTGTCTAAAGCAAAGGCAACCCAGTAGTAACACCCCCCCCCCCCCCCAACATCATATTAGAATTTATTTTCAGACTACAAAATTACTTTTATTTAAATACAACATTTTTTTAATTGTTTAAGTTAAGTAATTATTATATTGTAATTTAAATATCAAGCAAATCAGTGAGTGGGCTTGACCACTACCCCAAATGACCATTGTTTATCTCATGAATGTTAAGCTAGACCTATTGCCACTGTCATGCTCATGACATTTTCAATCTTTGTAGCTTCACAATTTTTAATAAAATGGACAAATAAATTTGGGGGAAAACATTTTACAAAATCCTGCAACTGAAACCGATAATAAAAATTTACCCCATAAATTAACAATTTTTATCTCTTAAAAATCTTGGAAATAGGCCATAAATTTCTACTATAAGTTAGGGGTACCCAAACAAAAGCTTAAAATAGCTAAATTAAAACTCAAGTTTACCTTTGCGCTGAATCAAAATTTTCAAACTTGGTCTAGCTGTAGAAAGGGCTCTATTGTAGTTTTCATTATTGTTGATGGGCAATAAATCCATATGAGGATCTATGTAAGTTATAATAAAAGGTATATCCATCAGGTGGTGTAAGTCCTCTAAGAGAAGATAGAAGTCATCAAACTGTCTCATTTTTGTTTTATCAATTGAAAACCTCCGAAATTCTGCATCAAACTGAAAAATAGAAATATTTTCATAAATACACTAAGTGATGGGCAATAGCGTTTTAAAAATTTCCCTCAATACAAAGATATAAAATAGTAAAAACTAGAGTCTAGAGAGTCATGCTGAAAGGAGAAATTGCATACAATCAATTCACAGATTGCAAATCTATTTCAATGGAAACCATTCTACTTTTTATTTAGGCCATGTAGGTAAATGTCCTTTTAAACCGATTATAATACAATAAATTAAACGAAGTGTCTACTCGGAAGAAGATTTTTCTCCCCAACGTCTCCACTTAGTCGGCAAAAGATAGCTCTGCGCATGCGCAGTGACCTATGGCTAGGGTTAGAATGAGGGTTAGTGGTAGGATTAGGGATAGTTAAAAGAGAGTGTCTATTTGAAGTTAACTGTAAATAGCCTTCGAACTTAACCTTTTTGGAGGTACCCAGCCAATTTCATACACCCATTCACTAAATCTTTCACTTCCTGAATATAGTTCTACCATCAGTACTGACATATCCGACGGAAAAGGGTGTGTCTTGACCTCCACCAAAAAGTGGCCTAAGTAAGAGGCTAAGCTATGAGCCTAAGACTAACTCACCAAACCCTTGGGGTTCAATAGAAACCAAGTTATTTGAAGTTAAGAATCTAGATCTAGCCTAAGAAATATTCTTTTCTTAACTTCAGTAAATTCTAAACTAGATCATAGATCTAGATTCTAGACTCAAACTTAAGTAAAATTCTAAGACCCTTCTACCACTAGAATCTAGTAACTAGAATGATAGAATCTCTATACTCTACAGATAGATTATAGAATATAGAGTAAAGTTCCACGCGCGGTCACACATAGCGGAAAATTCCAAATTCCCGATTTTCATCGGGCGCTATTTTATAACCGTTTCACACAGAAACAAACCGAAAGCACTGTATTACTCCGCTGCCATTCTACTGTAATATGTATGAGTCATTTTGTATTCCTACGCATAGTATTTAAGATATTCATGTTTTAGTGACGTCCCTCCTTGCGATATTTTTTTTCCCTTTTTTTTTTGCCTGCGTACGCAAGAACCTGCTTGCCAACGAGCGTATTGTATACGTTTTGATCCAATTTTAATAATTGAAATAAATATTTTACACACTTAAACGTGTTGTTGATTGTATTATTAATTAATAGATTGCAAAAATAATAATTAAAAACATGTTAATTAAATTAATTAAAGACATTAAAAGTTGACCCAGTGATGACTCAAGGGACGCAACTATAATAATCATAACAAAGGGACGTAACAACCACTAAAAGACATAACGTAACATTTGCTTAGATATGCTTGTATGTAGAGACACAAACTAGATTTAGAAGAAGTAGATGATCGAAATAATTTAAAACAGCAGAAAAAAATAGAAAGTATACAGATTCTAGGCTTAGTTTGAAATATAGAGCATCTAGAACTAGGCTAGTCTAGCTCAAGTCGTTGGTTACGCAGCGATGTGAAACCACCGTAATCGACACCCAAGCTGCGGCCACCCCTATTTACCTATCAGGTTGCTTTATTAGCCTTATTTATCGTATGTACAGTGTCCCGCATATATTGTAGAAGCTATTTATAGTTAACCTAGTTATAAAAAGCTTTGATTGGTTGGTTTTATTCATCTCATCCGGGACCTAGTGTTTTTCATAGGGGGAACTAGAACCGCCTACGACGTCATACCTCGAAACTTTAAAATTTAAAAACTCGACTTCCAGAAGGAGAAAAACAAAAGAATTTGACCTGGATATATTTAGAAATGGACAGGTTTACAGCAGATATCGGTAGTTTCGTATAAAACATCAAAACAAATATTGTACGAAGCGATAAACAGGCGATGATCGCACCGGTGTTTTAACCGCGCGTGGAACTTTACTCTAGATCGAGAATCCAGAAATTCTGAGAAATTGATAGGCCTAAGTCATTTTGGGCCTTTGACTTTGGGTAATATTTGTGATTTGTCTGATCTAGATGATAATTGATAGGCCTATAGACTAAAAAACTCAAAAATAGACATCTTAATATAGATTTCTAGAATGAATCACATGTATCAATTAAATCTCTAGAAATAGATCTAGAAATGTAGATTGACTGACTTACCTTGCTTTTGATTTCGACCACACCAGTGGAAGATCTTAAAGCTCCCTTCGAATTTTTAGACATTTTATAATGCTGAGCTACATTTGCAAAGTAAACTTTTAGCTAGTCTATAGCATTTTATAATGTACAAAGATTAATTATAAATTCACAATATATTTTGGTTTCTTTAGTCCATTTCGAGTCTAACAACTCCAAGACTGTGTAAATGTTAAAGGTGCAAATATGTCCAACTTCCGCAAAACACAGAAAATAAACCTAGATTAATGACGTCATAGAGAATTTCCATTGTTGCCAGGTAATATATGCATTTTTGTTCTAAACTTTCTCATAATTTATCATGCCGCTTAATACTATAACTCTAAAATAATTTTAAAAATTAACCTTTGATCATACCGATCGTTATCAGAGGCGTAGCTAGGGGAGGGCGGGGAGGGCGGCCGCCCCGGGCGCCGACCATAGGGGGGCGCCAAAAGGGGTAGAAAAAATAAATTAAAAGCTCATTTTAAGCTTCAGTTTTGAATTATAAACAGTCAAAGTAAAGAAATTTAACGGCTGAGAGCCTTTGCATACTGATTAAACTGTTTTCTACCTTGATTGTGTAACTGTAAAACATATATCTTTAAGAAACAGTGACCGGAAAACCCGCTTTCCAGCTTTTGTAGATGGGGAGGGGGGGGGGGCGCTTTTTCGAAGACTAAAATCGGAAAAATTCACACCGGATTAAGGAATAAATATCCGATATCACTCAGAAAAGAAACCCATTAAACTAAAGCGTATTTTACGATTGTGTATCATAATAAACCGGGAGTGATCTCCCCTAAACTTTCTCGAATATTCTTATATAAAATAACAGGGGATGGGAACTCGGGCTATAGACATGATTTTTAATCCATTTTAAATACTTAAAGTTTTAAAAATAGAATAAAATCTCGTAGACAGATTAATTGCACACCAAGTGAACGCCAAATAAAAACGCGTATAATAGTGCGCAATATTATTAGTACTTTAAAAATTTACATTAGTTTTTTGAGAAATCGGAAGTAGCGTAAATTACTACTTCCAGTCAACGGAAATTACTCAAAATTTAACAGAAGGTAGAGAATTAGATCTTTTACTTACATGTGAAATTTCATTTATCTATCTGAAATAGTACTCAAGTTATAGGCTTTTGAAAAATTCAAAGTAGGAAAAGTACTACTTCCGGTTATCGGAAATCGCTCAAAAGTTGATACGGATCTACGATTTTGATAAAATACTTATATATGAAATTTCATCAACCTAGCTGTAACGGTACTCAAGTTATCGTGTTTACACACGGACAGACAGACAGACACACACACACACAGACACACAGACATACGGACAAGATTGCAAAATTATGTTTTTCCGTATCAGTGAGGTGTAAAACGTCGAGATTTGTAAAAATCTCAATTTTTTTTTTTTTGCACGATTACAAGACTTTCTCTATACTTCGTAGGCCTATATACGAGAGAGTAAAAATGAGTTAGTGACGTTTAAAATCCGCTCTACCATTTTTTGTCCAAGATGTCGGGGCGCTTTTTCACTAACAAAAACCGCAGGATTTGTACTGGATCGGTTGCTAGATAACTTTTTTAACACTTAGAAAAGAAATCAATTGTATTAACACTTAATGTACGATTTCACTACCCAGTTTTGCTAAGTAATAACGCGACTAGTTCTTTGTACGATTCTTACGATTCTCTCAACTTGATCGTGAGAGATCAGATACTTTTACTTGATTACATTACATCTTGCCTGGATCACTGAATTAAAGAGAAATAAATATCACGGATTCTTGTATCGCTATCCGATCAGTAAAATAGACTGTCGGAGCGGGAGGATGGGAAGCAACACTTTTTGCCAAAATTTTAAGAGAGAAGAAAATTAGTATATTGTACTGATTATTACTTTGTTCAACCTAACTGATAATTCACAATGGCAATGTTGGCCTACTATTATCGAAATTGTTCTAAAGACACGACCAAAAGTAGAACAAATAAGGTTTGCACCTTCTACAAAATACACTCTAAATAGTTTCATATGCGCAATCACCGGACCCTCCTTAATAGTTGTAACTTTTACCCAGTTACATTTTTACCCTGGGACAAACTTTCGATTTGCACCCCCACCCCCCCCCCCCTCAAACTTTCGATTTGCACCCCCCCCCCCCCCTTATACTTTTTATATTTATACCGAGGGGTCTATGGGGTGGGGACGGTGTTATGACCCCCCTAACCCCCACCAATGCCTACGCCACTGGTCTTAACCCTGAGACTGAATTACCGAACCTCTCGGGTTCGATCGAGCCCACTGTTCTAAGCCCTTTTGATTTTCTACTTTTTATTCGTTTCGGCATCTTAAGGTGAATTTAATTGGCGCCCAGTGAAGTTTTATGGAACGACAATCAGCGTAATTGTTAATTTTTTTCCAGACTGTCGCACACACAAAAACACACACGCATATATATATACATTATATATATATATATATATATATATATATATATATATATATATATATATATATATATATATATATATATATGGGGGGCGCCAAACCGAAAGTTCGCCCCGGGCGCCGGGAGGGGTCGCTACGCCTCTGATCGTTATGTATATATATATAACTATACTTTATAGATTATAAGCATAAAAAACGTTTACGTTTTTTTTAAAAGACGAAAATGTTAACTGTGGCTATTAAAAAGAAAATATCCGTTGTTGAAATAAGATTAAGTTGTTAATATTCTTTGATGACCCTACTTTTCTATGCAAAGTATGATTACCATTTTTTTTTTCCAAATAATTGTTGTAACCCTTCTTTTGTTAATTTAGAAGCTTTTCAAACAGACTTTGGTGACAGCAGCATAGGTCCATAGGCCTAGCGACTTCTTCCGACGGCTGGGCTGCATTATACATGTTACGCCCCACTCATATATATATATATATATATATATATATATATATATATATATATATATATATATATATATTATATATATATGTATATATATATATATATATACCTATAATATATATATATGTATATATATATATATATATATATATATATA